AGCCTCCTAATAAAAAACTTGATAGTATCAAAAATACTGCCATATAATAAAATATATATTTTTTTATTGAATATGATGTATTACGTATTCTAGAATTAAGCATACCAACTTAACCTTTTTTTTTATTTTAATCATTTTTAGATTTATTAAATTAATTAAATCTTTATTCTAAATACTTTTATTTTGCTTCTTAATTATCCAACACTTACTAAAATATCATACAAATTTATTATTTTTTCCAATTATTCTTTTTTTAATCTGTTAATTATAATATGGATTTGATATTTATATGTTTATAGATCATATCATTTACAGAATTTTCTTAAAGTCTACCATTAATTAACAAAATTTATTATTTTTAATTTTCAGTCTTTTTCCAAAAAAACAATGAAACTAAATGAATAACAAATATAAAACATATCTCTGCTATTGTTAATGATTACAATTAAGATGTACCATTTATAATCATATTTTAACTCATGATATCTAATGATTAAATTAATTCTTTATTCATGTCAAAAACATATTTTAAATTATATCTAAGTGTAACAACTGAATTAACATAATCTAAATCTAAGACTTAATCAGTTTCATCATGTGAAAAATACTTAATCTAAAAAAAATACTAAAGAGTATTTTATATATTATTAATAAATTCTGTATAAGAGACAGTTTTTCTTGGTAAACCGAGTAATTAAATACTAATATTTGATAATAATCCCATATTTTCAATCTCTATAAATTTTGGATACATAATGCCCAAATTCTCAAATGTTTCATTTCCCTAATGTTTAACAGATGTAAAAGTTTGATTATTTAGAAAATCACTATTTTTTATAATTTTAAGTCCATTCATTAGTAATGTCCATGATAAAGCATAACTTTAAAAAAAATATCTATTGAAAAGTAATGGAGCATTTAGTGAATAACTACTATCTATTAATTCCTCAATTTATGATTTAATGACTTAAGTATTAATTATAATGGTTGATAGAGCACATAGAAATAATATTAATGTTAAAATTAAAATGATTTTTAGACTGGTAATCATAATTTTAGAGTGTTAAAAATTTTTAATAATTGAGATATACTATGTTTTTGAAGTTCCTGATGTTTTACTAGAATATGATTAATGATCATCTCTTTCTTTAATTCCTTTGTCTTTGTAATTAGTTAATAATTTTAACATTTTATAACTCTTTTCTTAAATTTTTTCACTACTTGATTTTTATGGTTAATTAGATTTAGATTCATTATTATAATCTTCATCTTCTTTTTCATCCCCAACATATTAATGAATAGATGGTCCACCATTAAAACTTACTCTAATATCTTAAAATTCAATTTCTAATTTCTTTAATTCATCATCTAAATTATGTTATCTTGGAGAAATAAAGTTTGCTCTTTAAGATAAAGGACCAAAACTTTAACTCTCTTAAAATGATTAATTTAATACTCCAAATAATTATTCTCTATCACTTAATAAATGATTAAAACTATTCCCAATTATTTCCTATATAATAATAAAATTTACATTAGGTTTTTATTCATCTTTTTGAACTATTCTTTCACTTGTTGTAATATCTGTTAATACACTACTAAAATCTAAATAGATTAAATATAAAAAGAATACTCTTATTATTATATATACTATCGTATTATTTTGAATTAACAGAAGAGATTGCATTTGCACCTTTTTTCCTATAATCCAAAATCTCAATTATAAAGTATGATTTTTAAGATGATTTTTTACCAATAGTTCTATATTATAAAGATATTTTTGATAGGTATTAAACAGATTAGAATTTCTAAAATATAAATAAATAAAAATATACATTATATTATTGCATATATTCTAATACTTAATTTTTAAAACGAGGACAAAGTAATTAAATATCATCAGATAATTTTACACTATTATTTACATAATATCTTCCTGTTTGTATATTTTCTTTTTATTTTTTACTTGTATATGTCTTAGTTTAAGATAAATTTGCTGTTTTTTGCATACTTTTTCTTAATGAATATGCAAATGAGGTTGAAGTTGCCATTTTATTTTCATAAAAGAATTATATTATTTTAGATAAATTTTCAAAAATTGTTATTGTTGTCATAAATTCTACTTAAAGATATTCTGATTAATTAATATTATCTTTTTATGATTCTAAAATAGAAAATATATTTGTAAAAAATACAAATATATATGCTTAATTAATTGTTTAAGCATTTAATTCTTCTTGAAATGATTATTAAATTATATCTGTATAAAATCCTTAAGTTACTGATAGAATCTTTCCATTTTCATCAAATAATATAAATTCTGATGTTTCTTTCACTTTTGATAAACATCCAGTAACAACATAATCATCAAAAAAATCAAAATTATTTTCTAATTTTAATTATTATGCTTATACAAATTCATTTTTTAATTTACTAAATACAATTTCATATTAATTAAATAATGGAGATTATGCTGTTTCTAAATAAGATTATAAAAATTATTCATGAATATCAGCAATAAATTGAGGAATGAATAAATTAATATGATTTACACTTTCTACTTCTTTAATATCTAATCCAAAATAATTAGCAATCTAATTTTTTTTATTATTTTTTATATATCCTCTATTTTTTACCATACTTACCATAATTAAACATAAATTATCTTAAAGAATGTCAATATTACTAATAACATCATTTGGAAGAGAATTCTCCATTGCCAAAACTTCAGATATTTATTATTCACATTATAAAGAACTATAAAAATCATTTAAAATTATCAAATGAAATATCGATGCAATCCTCAATTCTATAACATTTCTAGCTTTTTAGATTTAATTTAAATTCATTAAATCTATTTATAATTTTTATTACAATAAATCTTAACAACTTAATATTTTACTTGTATAATTTACAATCAATTATTCTAAATCATATATAGAATCTAAACCATTAATCTATTCATTCCAAATTCTTATTTTATGATCTATAAGTTCAACTATTTAAGGTAAAATTTATTCCTCAATAGAATTTGCTTACATAATATCCTTTATTTCAAGACAATTATCTTCAAAATTATGACGATTTTAAAGAAATTGTACTCTTGTATCAAGTATAATTTATTAAAGATCTTCAAAAAAGTACTAAATAGTATTTTAAAAATATAGAGATGCTTATTAATTTTATAATTAGTATACTTTCAATTCTACAAAGGATAATAGTGGTTATTTTTTAATTTTATTTAGAAAATCTGCATAATATATTTCAAATTATTCATATTCAGATTTAGAATTCAATTTTAAAACTGTAAGATGTTCTTTTATTATACAATAAAGTACATTAGTAAATAAATATTTAGAAGCTACCTTATTTTTATTTTATCTAATTTTTTAACAGTTTATACATTATTATAAGTGATTTTGAATAAAAATACAATAAATAAATCTATTCTAAATTTTGAAATCATTATTTCTTAATTCAGGCATCATATAATAAACATATTAAACAAACTCTTATAATTCAAAGACATTTGTTTATTTAAAGAGTAATTTAATTTATTTTCTATCATTTAATATTGAGCTTATAGAAATTGAAAATGTCATAAATATCAACCACATAATTAAAATTTATTCTTCTTATATTAGATGATTTCTTGATGATAAATTTATAGTTATAACTATTAGTAAACTTTAACATGATGAAATTATAATTAAGCAGAATTTAGATAAATGAGGTGGAAAGGTTCCAACATAAAATGCATTAATGAATTAAGATAAATAATACAGATGCATCATTAATAATTATACTACAATATTAAATGTGCTTCTATTTTAAAAATACAAACAAGTAATAATAATGTTAAGACATTATTCAATAAAAAGTAATAAACTAAATTTTTATATTAAGCCATTATCCTATTACAATCTTGTGCTTCTAATAAAGTAGCTACTAAAAAAACAAAAACATGACAGTATTAACAAACCTATTCCACTCACTGGTAAATATGCATGAAATTAAAAATTTGAATATAATAGAGCTCTTTAACTAAATGATAGAGATCCAATAAAAATGAACAATTATGGTATAAAAAATAATTTAGTAACAATTACTAAATACCAATATGTAAAAGTTAGCATAAATGAAAGTTTATTTTTAAATTTGGCAATCAAAAATATTGCTAGCAACATGAAAATGTTAAATAAAGAGAATAGTAGTATTAAAAAATAGATCAATGTTGATGATTTTACTTCATTGACAAAAGGAAAAATCAATATCATATTTAATAAATTTTTTGTCATTCTAAAAGCTCCATCTGTATAAGTCCATTAATTCCAACCATCTAATGGAAAAGCTAATGCTAATGTTTGACAATAATATATTAGCAATACTATTTTTTAAATCTTTATGTTTAAAGTAAAGCTAGGCTAATACATTGAAACAAAACAAAATCCCTATAGCATTTTTAATAATAAAACCAACAATAAATAAAAACATATTATTTAAACATTATTGAAATTTTTATACATATATATATTTACTTAGTCAAGTAAATCAGCTTCTAGTATAAATAATATTTAAATTGTTTCTTTGTATTTTAAACTTATTTGTTCGTAATAAATCGTTAACAGATAACTATCATAATATCAATTTTATGTGTTTTTATAATATCTGAATTACAAGATTCTTAATAATTTTAACACTTATGATGAGCATTAAAATTTTACAAAGAAAAAAATCATTATAATATTAATTACATAATTTTTAATTATTACCTTTTATTATTATTAATATATCAAAATAATTTTGTTGATTATTGAGTATCTTTATATAATTAAAGTATTATAATTGATTAAATAATGAATTAAATATCAATTAGGAATATCAAAATTTATCCATTTAAAATATAATAATACATATTTAGTTATATCTATTAGTATTTTTATGAGTATTAATATAATTATTATAAAGATATCAAATAAATAAATAATATCTAATTAATTTCATATACATAATTCTTCTATTGCTCTATATCCTTATTATATTATCCATAACTCATGAGGAACTAAATCAAAAAAGCATTCTCTGATTTCATGGCTAAAATATAAATAATCAATACTTTAAAACAACTCTTTGTGATTTCTCTTACAATAATTTGTAGCTCACCCATAATGCTAATAAGTTAGATTAATAATTACTTTATGGATCATGAGTAGTTTTTTATTTATTTTTTAATAAATTAATTTATTCTGTTAATAAATTAAAAGTGAATTTAACTTTTGGAAACTTTTCAGCTTTTAAATATCTAAATTTAATAAAATTTTTTTATTCCTCCCATTCTTGTAATAATGTTTCATATCCTTTACTATATTAATTTATTTATTCTTTAGAAAATAAATTTAATTCTATTGCCATTTCTGCAAATCTTGGTAGAGTAATCATTTTATTTTTTGATAATTCTTCTATATAATCAGCATAACTTATGAATTGTTCCAATGCTACATTTTTATCATATATATTAGGATGTATTGCTTTATATAAATTTTTAAACTAAATATTAGAATGTAAAAGTAATACTTCTGAGAATTCAATAAGATTATTTCCATCCAAATCTGCAGCTTGAAATATTAATTTTAAACTATCTTCACATTATCTTTTTTTTTAAAAATACAAGTTCATTACTTAGATCATTACATTTTCAAATATGATGTCTCTGATATATCAAGTACAAATACATTTATTATTATTTTGCTTAAATTATTGTAAAAGTTAAGTGATATAATTTTAACCTAGAAGTTATTATAGAAAATCGTTGCAATATTCAATGAGTTATTCATGTGTTAAATTTATTTCAGGTTTATTTAATTATATTTCTCTACATAAATTAAATACTTACTTATTATGAAAATACTTAATTGATTCAACAATTAATTTATAAACAGCCTCATCCATTTCATCATCCATATAACATAATCTTGAGATCAAACATAATTTTGGGTATTAGTTTTTCTTATGAAATATAAATTAAAGTAACTAAATAATAATATATATATATAAATACCTATTTAATTTTTTTTTCAGCTACATTTTTAAATCCATATTTCTTTAAGAAAAAATCATAAATACTAACATGTAATGGTATTTTATATCCTTCTTAATTTTTAGCAGTATCAGATATTATAGTGTTAAATATTTTAATAATTGATGAAATTGGTATTATTGAATCCTTTTGTTTTTTAAATTTGATATTCATAACCTCATGTAATAATGAATTTGCAGCATCTGTATTTTAACTATAAATTCTTTTAACTCTTCTTTCTTTTTTTAAATCAGATAATAATGATAACTTAATTGCCAATGGTTTTGTAAATCTTCTTTTTTAAATATTGATTCCTCCATATTATTATACAAGATTTCTTATTTTCTCAATTTTCTTAATCTCTTCTTCTTTTGCTTTTTCTGACAAATCATCACTAGAAACTAATGATAAATTTTCACTATCATTAGCATCACTTGATTAATCAAGAGTATTTATTGTATTATTAGATTTTTATTGTGTTTATTTTACAACTTTAGAAAGTTTTCTTTTCAATTATTATTATTTAGGTTCATCATCTAAATCTTTAATAGCTGATAAGCTTTTTATTTATAAAGATTTTCTATTTGATTAATTCTTATTAGAAGGAATAGATTTTTATTTTTAATTTTGAGATTCTAAGTCTTCAATACTTAATTTACTTTAACTACTTCTACTATTTTTTCTACTCATACTAGTGTTTAAATTATTCTTATTTTAAGTATTCTATAATTCCTCAAAATGATTATCAATTTTATCTTCTTAATTGTTATTATCTTAATACTAATTGTCTTTTATATCTTTATTGATTAGATAATCCTCTTAATAAATGTTATTCTTTATAGGATTAAATTATTCTTCATTTAAATTTTATTATTAATTATTTAATTGATCTAAATCAAAGATTGATTCTTTAATATTCTAATTTTATTATATATTTTGAATAATTGAATCTTCTTCGTTTTTTTCATCACTTTCGATAATATCTTCTTATAAAACATCTTGTTAATTTAAAACTAAAGAATTTCTAAATGAAGGTGTCTTCACTCCAGGGGAATTTACTAGTACTTATGGAATATCTTATTTAGGAGGACTACTTTCACTTTGCACTTTAAAAGTATATGTTTTAATTTACTTGAATTAAGACGATTTTATAATTATGTTTAACTTTTCTTAAGTTTCCTTATTTTCTATTTCTTTTTTTTAAGTAATTCTATAAATTCTTAAGTTGCTTCTTACAAAGTTTATTCGTAATATTTAGCATTGACTTTTTGTTCTTACAATTCTAACATCTATTCTATTAATTTCTTTTTTATTTCAATTTCTTAATCCATCTAATTATTATTACAAAAGTGTAATAGTTGAATTAATTAATCTTTATAATTTTACATTATCTCATTTTTAGAAATCTATCTAAAATTTTATATAAATAATTACATATTTGTATATGAATCTGTTTATCTTTGATTAAATAAATCTTCTATATGATCAAATAAAAATACAAAAGATTAATCTGTTTAAACATCCTCTAAGATAAATTAAATATTATACTATCTTCTGTATTAATAGGGAGTATTGCCTTTGATTGTAATTTTAACATATTTTATTATTAAAATGTTGAATTCAATTAATCAAGATCAGTTTTGGATAATCCTTACTTAAAATATTCTTCATCTTCTTTTAATTATTCAACTTTTTCAAATTGAATAGATGTTTTCTTTTATAATTTTGAAAACATTGTATTTTTCATTGATAATAGATGTGCTACAACAGATTAACCTTCTTGAATTCCAATTTTAATTTTTTCAGTTGTTTATTATGATGAATGAGTTTCTATTTACAATTTTGTTTAAATTAATTCATTATATACTTTATTATGATTATCAGTCATTTCATCTAATTAAGTACTCAATAATTTGATTTCATTAGTCAATTAAAGGTTCTTTTTTGATAAATATATATTTTTATCATTTAATTCTGATTTCTCTAATTGTAATTATTCTATTTATTATTTTAATTGATTAATTTCTTATTGTAATTATTATACAAAGATTTAATTTGTCTTTTAAATTCTTTAAACAGTATCTATTTATTATTTTTCCATTTCTTCATAATTCATTGCAACATTTTAAATAAGCATATCTATAAAAGATACAAATGAATTCCAAATAATTAATAATAAAGTTCCTCTTTCTTTGCATTCATATGATATTTACCTAGCTAATTCATGAATACAAGTTTAATATACTAATTATAATTAATTTGTTAAGTCAGTTATTAATTGTAAATTGTCAGTGTTTAAAGTTTAAATCATTTAATCAAACCACTTCAATAGATCAATAGCTTGCTATCTATTTGGAGGACATTTTGAATCAAAGATAGTTTTGCATTCTTATTGTAAAATTGACTGAAGATAGTATTTAAATTAATGTATCTTGATGTTTTGGAGTAAAGGCGAAAAATCAATTGTTTTCTCATGCATTTTTAATTCTGTAGGATTATCTATAAATGTACCTTTCACATTTTCCTTAATAATTGATGTGTAAATATTAGTTTTGTTAACTTAATTATGCTAAATATATAACCGATAATTTTACAAATTCATATAATTATGGATCTCTTGCAATATTGCTTAAGGGTATTTTTGTAGAAGATATAGAATATTTTTAAGAGGGAGTATTTCTTAAATTAAGATAGGAAACATCAGAATATGTTTTCACTCTATCAGTTTACGATAATTAAATGTTTGATCTGCTCTAAGTAGTTGTACGTAATGTTGATATTTCTTATAGAGAATCCTTGATTGTTAAATTCAAAGTAATGGATTTTTATTTTGCTTTCGTTTGAGGTCTCCTTGGAGATTATAAATGAGGGAGTCTTTATGTATTCATAATTTAGAATAATTTTTATTAAATTACTGAAATCTCTTTAGAACAAATATTTAGATAAATGTGAATTATATTCATATTTTCAAATATTAAATAATATGATAGAATATGCCAATTTTTGTATATCTATGATGAAAATATATGTAAAAATGAATGTTAAAAATAGTTAAATTTTAAGTAATTAATTTAATTTATATATATAATACATTATCTTTATCAATAAATATTAGCCTGATATTCCTAAATATTATTATTTGTTAAATAGATTATTCTAAAAGTTTTATTTTATAAATATTATTTTCTGGATTACAAAGTAAATTAAGAATAAAGTATAAAGGATAAGTATAAAATTATCATATTTATTTTACTATTAAATTATTATCAACTATGTATAATAAGAAAAATAAGTAAAATTTATGAATACTTAAATTATCGATTTAATTAAAAAAATCATATTTACCTTGTTTTAGTAAATAATTTTAATTATTCTTTAAATTTTGATATGTTAGATTTCTTTCTTGTAAAATAAATTTATATCATAAGTAAAACAATTATAAATAATATTAGATTAAAGGTAGAATACTAATTTTTAATGATAAACGATTAGATGAATATCTAAATTTATATTAAAAATAAAAAACAATATTTTAAATAAAAAATATATGGGAAAAGGAAAAAAATCAAGATCAAGGACACCCAAAAAGAAGAATAGATCTAAATCTAAAGAAAAGTAAAGATCTAGATCTAAAGAAAAAAAATAATCCAAATCAAAAGAAAGAGATAGGAAGAAAGTAGAGACTGGATTAGGAAGATCAACAGGTTGGGGAGTAGCTTCATAACCCAAAACTGGGAATACTGATGACTTTTTAAGAGATATGTACAATAATCCAAAAACTTCTGCAACACCACAAAGTAGAAGATATTAAAATTTTTTAGCTGCACAAGCATTGATTGTTCCATAGTCTCACACAATGCAAACATAGATGCAATATACATTTGTAATGGTAAATATATTTATTAAAGGTACCTGGTATGAATCCTACAATATTAAAAATGCTTAATGACCCAACAAAAGTAAGAAGAAAGATTAAGATTCCTCCTGATTTGTCATTTAATTATATTGGTCTAATTATTGGACCCAAGGGAGTGAGTCAAAAAAAATTAGAAGAAGAAACAGGAGCTAAAATATTGGTTAGAGGTAGAGGATCATAAAAACCAGAATAACCACCTCAACCTGATGATGATGAAGATTTGCATGTATTAGTAGTTGCAGAAACTCCATAATAAGCAGCAAATGCATGTGATAGAATAGAAAGAATATTATTAGCTGATGCTGATGAATGTAATAATAATATTTATTTAATAGTATAACGATATAGATAAGAATAAATGAAATTAATTGCTTAATCATAATAGACTCCAACAACAGCTTAACCAATAGTATAAAGTGGTAGTGTAGATCCAAGTGATTTATCTATGACTACTCCATATGGACCACCTAGCAAGGATGCTTATGTTTATCCAGTTCCAAATGAATTTGTTGGATTAGTAATTGGTGTAAAAGGAGAAACTATTTAATAATTAAAAGAGAAATCTGGATGTAAAAATGTATAAGTTGCTGCTGATTCTGCACCTGGTTCTTAAACAAGAAATGTATTTATTGTTGGAGATCCTGATTGTGTTAAAAAATGTCAAGGTTTGTTATAAGAAATTATTGATACATAAAGAAAAGTTAGAACAGCTCCTGGTGCTAAAAAAATAGAATTTCAAGTACATGATTAATTTGTAGCACTAATCATTGGAAAAAAAGGAGTCACTATTAAAGCTATCAGTGAAAGAAGTGGTGCTTTTGTTGCTATAACTTAAAGTCCTGATTATTAAGTCAGACCAGATCATAAAGCATTTGTTTTAAGTGGAACTGAAGAATAATTAAATATTGCAATTAGAGAAATTGAAACACTATTAGAAGGAGCTAAAAAGTAATATATTTATGATTATAAATAGAGCTTACTTTGCTAAAACTTGTGTAGATCCCAGTACAATCAATATACCAACGTAAACTAAAATATTTAATATAGTCCCTTGTTGATTAATCCTCCGAATGCTTTAGCTAATTATTAAATAACCAATAATGAAATGGCTCCATAGTAAACTATGCCAGAGTTTAGAACTCCAGAAGAATAAGGTAAATTTAACACTTATACTAATTATCTTTTCTTTATTTATAGTGGCTTATTAAAGATAACTGTAAATGCAAACTATGCAAATGCAATATTACATGATGATACCAGCATAACAGGCAGTTGTAGAAGAAAGAGTTATTACAAGAGATAATCGATAAAGATGATTATGAGTGAAACCAAAAAAAATATTATCATTTAAAAATATATGTACGTGTATTTATTCATTCTTCTAACTATCATCTCTGCTGAGGATTATTACAAATTATTAGAAATATCACCAGAAGCAAGTGATAATGATATCAAAAAGGCCTTTAGAAAACTATCTGTAACATATCATCCAGATAAAAATCCAGGAGACAAATAAGCCACAAAAAGATTCTAAGATATCAACAAAGCTTATGAAATATTAACAGATCCTGAAAAAAGAATGATATATGATTTGTAAGACCTTTTCATATTATTTCTAGTTATGGTGAAGAAGGTCTTACAAATCCACAATATTATAATAGACCTAAAGGTCCTAATGCTTAAGCAGAAATTCAAGTTACATTAGAAGAATTGTATAATGGTACAGATAGAGAATTTACTTTACAAAAGAAAGTATTATGCAAATAGTGTAAAGGAACTGGATCAAAAGATGGAACATTAAAAATTTGCAAACATTGTAATGGTAGAGGTTAAAGAATGCAAAATGTTAATATGGGAATAGGATTTACAGTATAAATGCAAACTGCTTGTGATAGATGTGGAGGTAGAGGTAAAATTAGTTCAGGAAATTGTGCTAATTGCAGAGGAAATAGAGTCTAATAAACATCTAAGACCTTATAAATTGAAGTTGAAAAAGGGATGACTGATGGATAAACTATTGTTTTTAGAGGAGAAAGTGAATAAAGTCCAGATTATTTCCCAGGAGATGTCATCTTTTATTTAAGACAAATAAAGCATCCTCTTTTTGAAAGAAAGGGTAATGATTTATATATGGATATGGAAATTACCTTAAAAGAAGCAATCTTAGGATTTAAGAAAAGAATTAAGCATTTAGATAATCATTATGTTGAAGTTGAAAGCAATAAAATTATTTAACCATTTGAAGTATATAATTATTAAAATCTATTAGGTAAAATAAATAGCCTAAGAGGGTATGCCTATTCATTAACTTCCAAGTGTTAAAGGTGATTTGTACATAAAATTCATAGTAAAGATGCCTATCAAATTAAATGAATAAGAAAAGGAATTCATAAGGAAAATATTTGCTTGATAAATATTATATTATATGTTATATAATTTTTATTTATGTTGTATATTTGAAATTACTAAAAAATGATACATCATGAAATTTTAATCAAAGCTTTTTGTCATTATTATGATATATTTTTTTGATTTACTTCAGTATTATATTAAAAAATTGACATTTGATTGATAATAGCCTTATCTAAAATTCATCATTTTAATATGATCACTTAGGATAATAAATTTATAATTAAAAATAAATTAATTATAGAAATTTTAATTGTAAAAAGAATATTACTATGATGTCATATTTAATTAAGATTCTAAACTGAAGAATTTAACCTTCCAGTTATTAATATTTTAATAAAATGGGGTGCAGTATCAGTGTTGAAGTAAAAGAATAAGAAAATGTTCTTGATACATAAAGTCATGAAAGACCATGTGAATCCATAGAAATTCAAAAATACAAACTTAAAAAAAAATATGGGAGAACAAGAGAAGTTTCAATTGTGTTACAATAAGATAAACAAAAAAAAATATCTCATGAAATTACACACCTTGTTCCATAGTTAGATATTGAGGCTAATTCTATTCTAAAATCTAGAAAATAATCTCATGAAAGAGAAATCATTTGATTGTATTATCTATTCTTCATTATTATTATATAAAACATTCAGTATTTTTGTTTAGTATTCAAACAGAAACTTTTAGTATTAAGAAATAGGTAATAATCATAGTTGAGTACTCTCTTGTTAATATTATTCATAAGTCAGAGCATTTTAATACTACTTTTTTAAAAAAAAGGGGACCTTTAAAATAATTTATACAAATAAATAAACTTTTTAATAAATGAATTATATTTTATTATAAGGTAATTAAGTTAAACATCTGATTCTAGATTTCTTTTTATTTCTCACATCAGAGGTTATGAATTCAAATTATATGAATTTGTATTTTTCATTAGAAATATAATATTGCCATTAATAAAAAAAATAAATTTTGTTGTTCAAATTAATATCCCACGGTAAGTTATCATCAGGATAATAATATTTATTAAGAAAATTATCTTAAATAAATGTGATGGGAAATCAAATATTCAACTTTAAAAATTAAGTAAGCTTTTTCAAAATTTGCTATAATTAAAAATATTATTAATTAATATAATAAGACAGCTAAAATTTCATTCTTTATAATTAATTTTGTAAGACTCTTGAATATTTAATAAATCTAATCAAATGATCATAACATCTTTTGTTATAACATTTATAAATAATAAACATATTTCTGATTTTTTAAATTACAAAGAGAAATTATAAATAAATGAAACTGATAACATATTTAAATATTTAAACATTTTAGTAATTAATCATTAATAAAAAGATTAGGATCCTTTTTTGTTTATTTTTGATTTATCTAGTGTATGTTCATGTTCACTTTTAACTCTTGCTTGTCTATTTTCAAAATCTTAAATCCACATTTCCACTTAATCCTTAACTAATCTTTATTTTTGTGTATATTTTGTAGCCATTTATTTTCTTTCGTTTTCCATTTGAAATAGTCTCTCTTTAGCTGAAGGAAACATAATTGCAA